CTCACAACAAGTAACCGCTGCATACATGCTCATCCTAAATTGGTTGATCTCTTGGTTCTGCCCATACTTGTTGAAGTACTCACAAGTATGCAACACCCAGTCTCACTTAGTCCAGTCAGCAAGTACCATGTGGGACTGTGTGCACTATGGGCCCGGTGGAAAAGGAGCAGACAAGCGACCAACAAAAGTATAAATCAAGAGGCAGCGTTCAGCCATTCATTCATTGCTGTGTGAGCCATGCGGAAGCGCTGCCCAGGCGTCTTGTGCGAGGTGGTCTGCAGATGACCGAGGTTGAAGTGGGATGAAAGGAGATAGAGCGTCCATAGCTAGTAGTGGTAGAGCGGCCATAGCCGCTATAGCTGATAGATAGGGTGCAGTGTGGGTGTGGACGGTACTGAGGGAGTGTGCGTGGGATATTGTGGCATTCTCAGCCACACGGGCCCCAGTTAGGGCCCGGTTCCAGATAGGCAGGGTAGGCCTAAGGGGATGACGGTTCAGATGAGGCCCAGATAGGCCAGAACAGAGGCCCAGGCCAACGACCACAAGGCCGGTACCGGTCCAGCATAGGACCTACCGGCGGCGCAGTGCAGAGGCTGCCGCATTTAGGCGCTAAGTCCAGTTTTAAAACTGGACCGTTGATCAGATCAACGGTCCACGCCGGTAGGTACCAGCAAGCAGGAGGCCGGGCCAGCACTACAAAAGGCTGGGTACCAGCCTCAGTGGGAGGTTAGTAAGGTTGGAGTTAGTCTTCAGGATTAGCGCAGCATTGCAGCGTTAGCACGAGCAGCGAGGCGAGATCAAGACAACGGCAAGGAGGAACCAGCGCAGCAGGGACAACGCCAACCACCGTCCCAGTCCACAGCCCAGCGCCCGCCACCTGCAGCGCCATAGCTACCGGGACAGGTATCAGGGAGGAAGGCCTTGCCTTCTCTTCCTCTTCCTCCTCTGCCACTCTCTCTCTCTCTCTCTCTCTCTCTCTCTCTCTCCTCCTACCTTCTCAGTCTAAGTCTACTCCTGGGTTCTCCTACAGGGCGACTACGAGTATGAAGGATGGTTACGAATTCTGATGACATTTGAGACAGCGACATTGGGACTACAGGTTGAGGACTTCGGGTGGGATCTGATTTCATCTTCCTCTGGAGATGTACTTGACATTGTGAGATCGATATCTGAGACATTGTGAGACACTGTATTTGCGACATTTCGGATTTTCGTTACCTCCGACATTTCAAGATACTATCTTTGGAAACATTGAGTTGATGTCATCTTCCCTCTCCTCCTCCCTTCGTCTCTCTCCTCCCTCCATTCGTTCGTGGATGATCTAAGACCCTGGCCTCTTCGTCTACGTCTAAGGCCAGGGCTTTCACACCCCTGATGAATGTTTGAGAGTGTTCGATTCAAGTCCGAGTGAGGTCAGAGTCAGTCCAGGTATCTCAAGTCTTTCGCTTGCATTTGTATTAACTCTGTATTATCTGGTCGGTTATGGGAATCTGCGCCATACTTATGACTGTGTTTCACGAGTATGCAACAGATATCCAGGGATATCCAGTGTGAAGTGCGTGTGAACAGTTGAGGTGCAGAGGGATGTGTAGCGCTCAGGCGCCATGGTTAAACTGAAGTGAGCTTGTATCTGAACTGTGTCCTCGACTTGAATATCTCTCAGTTTTGTGTGGCAGCCCAGCACCAGTGTGCTTTGCCATCTGTTTACATGCATGTGAAGTGAGAAGAAAGCGAGTCTGATTGCATTGGTATCAGAGCAGGTTCCCATTGTTCCACGCGCCATCGCCGTTGTCGATAGGAAGGAGTTGGGCGCCATAGCAGAAGTGCGCCATCGAAGAAGAAGGATCCGCCATAGCCGTGCCACTAAAGGAAGGTGTTGTGTACCTGCAATGAAGACAACGACGAAGAGAGAGAGAGAGAGAGAGAGAGAGAGAGAGAGAGAGAGAGAGAGAGAGAGAGAGAGAGAGAGAGAGAGAGAGAGAGAGAAGATTGGTTGTGTGACCCGCTGAAGAAGGTGGTGGCCATAACCGCCAAGCTTGGACACGGAGAAAGAAGACATAGTCAAGAGGAGAGAGAAGGGACAAAGAAGAAGGAAAGAGTTATAGTCGAGGAGGAGAAGGGAGAAAGAGAAACCATAGTCGGGGGTGAAGAAGAAAGAGACGAGAAAGAAGCCATGGCCGAGGGTGAAGAAGGGAGGAAGAAGAAGGAAGGTGAAAGAAGGTGAGAGTGAGAGAGGGTTGGTAGCCATAGCCAATGTTGACCAAGGCAGTTATCAGCGCTGACTAAGGAGTTTACCAACGTTGATCGGATGTTTACCAGCGTTGACCGGGGTGTTTACCAGCATTGACCGAGGAGTTGGCCAGGGCGTTGATCAGCGTTGACCGAGGAGTTGACCGAGGCGTTGACCAGCGTTGATCGAGGTGTTGACCAGGGCGTTGACCGGAGCTGTTGACCACGAAGTTGACCAAGCTGGAGTTGGTATACTCTCGCCAAGCCTTCAACCTATCCCCTCGCCCTATGGATGTGCACTCACCCCATGGTACATGCCGAGTATGTCTGTCTCTTCTTTCTGCATTGAGTCTCTTTTGTCCAGGTGATAGGAACTCCGTGCATGAGGTCATAGAGCTGTGTTGACCAAACCCACACTGGCTGAGTAGGGCTAAAGACTATGTCTGACGACTGACTGACTCGGAGGACAAACCCTCGCAAGGACCGGTACAGACCAGCGGGCTGCTGAGTGTGGCACGGTCGGCCCAAAATCTGAGTTGTGGGCTGCACAACCGGCTGTCTAAGTCTTGAGAGGACTTGCTGATCGCGTCGTCCTGGTTGCGACGTTAAATAATTGCCGAGGAGTACGGGGGATCTCCTTAAATGCCTCCTGATCAGTAGTAAGTCCTGTAGTGACAGCCTAGTACTAGATTCAGGCTAGAGACCATGGTTTACAGGGTCCCAAAATGATCCTGTGGTCTTTAGAGAGTTAGTCAGTCAGGGGTTGGAAGTGTAAGTGGTGAGCAGTGGAACTATCATTTAGTTGTGCACCTTTCACCATGGTGGACACGCGAGGCGGTAAGAGCACCACCCCATACACGAAAGAGCAGGAAGAGAGAGCCGTCACCATACGGAAGGAAAAAAGGGAGAAGGAGGCTAAGAAGCAGGCCCTATTGGAGGAGCAGGCGGCGAAGAAGAAGAAGCTTGAGGAAGAGATGGATAGGTTGAAGAGAGAAGAGGAGGAGAAGCTTAAGGAAGTAGAAGAAGAAGAAGAAGAAGAAGAGGAGATACCCCTGGTGAGGAGTGTAAGGAGAGAGGAAAGGAGGGAATCCAGTGGGATTAGTGAGGAGGAGAAGAAACTGGAGAAGATGGTGTTAGAATGGGTGGCCATCTTCTCCCTAGGGGAAGATGAGGAGGCAGTGATGTAGATTCCCCATGATGAGAGGGAGGCTGCTGTGACAGAAATACAGGCCCTGACCGATCCTTTACAGCGGCAGGCCCTGGAAGAGGAAAAGAGAATGGAGTGGAAGTTGCGACTGAGGAGGCAGAGGAGAAGGCTCATTAAAGAGGCGACAAAGTTAGATAAGGAATTGGCTGCCACAGCAAAGCAGCATGCCAATGCGCTGGCCCAAGGGGACTTACAGAGCAAAGTGGATGCCATTGCAAGGAGTGTAGATGTGCTTATTCACACCCAACAGGAGCAGATGCATTCCTCAAGAGGCCATGACATAGGCCTGCAGTCCATACGAGTAGGTTTTCGAGACTTTGCTCACGATATAATGATGCGTATGGGCTCTGATGCAGGCCCGAATGAAGAACACAAAAAAATTCTGTGTTGGCGCTATAGAGGCCGCCAAGCTTGCGGTTCTAAGGGAGGAGGCGGCACGCCCGCGTAGGGAACATGTAAAAGTAAAGTTTCCTGATGCCTACATCGGGAAACAGGGAGAATACTTTGATAATAAGGAGGCCAACATCAACTCCTACGTGCACCTCCAGGATATTATCCCTGAGGAGCAAGTCCTTGTCGCATTCCATGCCCTTAGAGACGAAGCGTCTAGTTTCGCAAGGTCGTTAGCCCGCGCCGCCAAGTGTGACAATGACATGGTGGCGTATTCCACCATCACTCCCCTCAATGAATTCCTCAAGTTACTTCGCGAACGTTTCGCGGATGTGACTAAGGGAATCAAAGCGTCAGACAAGCTCCAGACAATCCACACACGTCGGTGGAAGAGTGCAAGGTCTTTCAAGGGTGCCATGGATGAGCTTGTCGCAGTCCCTAACCATGGGGTCACTGAGCCACGGTTGGTTCAGTTGTTCTATCGTGCGATGCCCAAGAGTTTACACGGGTACTTCTATGATAAGTCGCTAGAGCAAGGGATGACTTATGATAAATTGAGTCGCGATGTTGTGGCTTATGAGGCCCAGTCCACGCCAGTTATTGCTTTTTGGTACAGAGATATTGACAAGGGTAAGAAATGGGAGGGCGGACAATTTTAGGGCAGGTTAAAGGGAAAGATAACCTGATCCTGACGTTAGACGAGGGAGGAATGGAGGAGGTCCCGTATAGTGAGATTGAGTGGGGCCTTGACTTGGAGGATAGGAGTGTGGGTCAGGGGAGGACCAATGCTGCTGTCGCGGCTTGGGGGAGGCCACAAGGAAGAGGAGGAGGCTGGGTCCAAGGGGGCTGGGCCTATGGTGGCCGAGGACAGGACGATCAAGGGGTTGGCGGCAGGGGAAATCGCCAAGAGGGAGGCAGGGGTCAAGGTCCCCCGCAAAACCGTCCTCGTTTCAATCGATCACCTCCAAGGAGGGGTGGATGGCACCCTGGCTTCCTACAAGGCAGGCCCTGGGAAGATCTGGGCCTCGATCATTAAGTATGGCAGAAGAGGGTAAACCAAGATCAGTGCATCTATTGCGGTGATCCAGGGCATATTATTAAATACTGTCCTAAATATAAAGAGGCCCGGTATGCTGCATAGGCAGCAAAAGGCAACCGCCGGTAGGGGTTGCAACTGCCCTTACCTCTAGACCATGTGGAGAAGAGTGCACGCACCATAGAGAAACTCCCAAACCACATGTGTCTATGGCAGAGGTTGTTGGTCAGTGCCTAGATAGTTGTCCCGAGACTGCTTGTGTTAGGGTCTCTCTAGGCACTTCCCTCACATGTGTGGCAGAAGAATTGAAGGAGAGGATGCCTGCCTGTGCCAAGATGAAGAAAGATGGAAAAGGACAACTAGTGTTAGTAGATGTAGAGGTTTTTAGAGGCCGAGTAGGGGCCCTTATAGACAGTGGGGCCACCCGTAGTTATATCAGCCATAAAGCGCTACAGAAGCTGAATCTGGTTCAAAATCTAGAGGAACTTATAGTTGGCATCCTCGCAGACAATCGCACAATGCGAGTCGAGGATTTTGTCGAGGGAAGCATATTTCCGCCTAGAGAAATATGGGAAGGTGGAGAGAGTTCTCCATTTCCCGACTCTCCTCGTAGAAAACAATCTCTCATTTGATGTAGTCCTAGGAATGGACTGGGGAGAGGCAGCAGGGACCACGCTCCACTTGAGAGAGCATGAGTGTAGGTTCCCTAGCCCATCAGGTGGAGTTAAGACTGCTCGCCTGTTTCATGTGTCAGGGGTAGATAACCCCTTAGCACATTGCTGCCTCAGCGCTCCTGCGTTCGCAAGATTAGTGAAGAAGGAGCAGCTAGAAGAACAGGTCTTGGTAGCCTGTGTTAGGCCAGTCACTGAGCCTAAAACCAAGAAGTCTATAGACCCTCGTATTGCCAAGTTGCAAGAGGAGTATGCAGATTTGTTTGAGCCACCTACAGGAGTAGTATCGCGGCCGATCCAACATCGTATTGAAATTGAGCCTGGCAGTAGAAATCTCAAAGGAACTGTGAGGAGTGGCGGAAGCAGTTAGACGAACTCCTCGAGAAGGGTTGGATTAGGCCCAGTTCGTCTCCTTTTGGAGCACCTGTTCTGTTTGTCCTAAAAAAGGAGGAAGAATTGAGAATGTGCATTGACTATAGGGGTCTCAACGCCATCACGGTGAAGAACGCAGAACCACTGCCCTGTATAGATGATTTGTTAGATCAGGTGCATGGCTGCAAGTACTTCTCTAAGATAATTTTGAAGTCAGGATATCATCAGATAGAGGTCCATCCTGATGATCAGCACAAAACGACGTTCAGGACCAGATATGGGCACTATGAGTTTGTAGTGATGCCCTTTGGACTAACCAACGCGTCAACTACGTTTCATCGCTGTATGAACGATTTGTTTAGGTCGTGGTTAGATAGATTTGTAGTTGTGTACTTAGATGATATGTTAGTTTTTAGTAGGACCCTCCAAGAGCATGAGGGTCATCTGAGGCAGGTCTTGGAGAAGCTGAGGGAAGCTAACTTCAAGATCAACGCAAAGAAGTGTGAGTGGGCCAAGACGCAGGTTTTGTACTTCGGCCACGCCTTAGACGGAGATGGCATCAAACCCGAGGACAGTAAGATAGCAGCGATTAGAGATTGGCCGACGCCCCGCACATTGATAGAGTTGCGGTCGTTTCTAGGCTTAGCCAACTACTATAAAAAGTTTGTTAGAAACGTTTCCACCATCGCTGCTCTCCTTCGCAGGTTGTTAAAGAAAGAGGCAATTTGGAAGTGGGACAAAGACTGTACATCAACCCTGAAGAAGTTAAAGCGGGCCTTGGTAGAGTACCCAGTCCTCAAAGTAGCGGATCCATGTTTGCCTTTCGTCGTCACCACTGACGCAAGTCAGTATGGAATAGGTGTTGTTTTGCAGCAAGACGATGGCCATGGATACAGACCCATAGAGAAGGTAGCGACATCTACCTACGAGAGGGAACTCGACGCTCTCAGGCAAGCCTTAGATCACTGGAAGCGTTACTTGCTTGGGAGGCACTTCAAAGTGTATTCAGACCACGAGACGTTGAGGTGGCTGAAGACGCAGGCCAAGATGACACCTAAGCTTACTAGGTGGGCCGCAGAGATGGACCAGTTCGATTTCGAGCTCAAGCCAGTTAAAGGAAAATACAATGTAGTTGCGGATGCCCTAAGTAGGAGAGCGGACTACTTTGGAGCGATAGTGCATTATCTAGATATAGGGAGAGAACTGCAACAGAAAGTCAGGGAAGCGTATGCGGAGGACCCTACTTATAGCGATCTCCTCAAGAGAATTAAGGAGGCCCCAAATCCAGAACCAGACTACCGTACTACAAATGGGTTATCGTTCGAGAAGACCAACGTAGTGGACTGACTGTGCGTTCCTAACAATGAAGAGATCCGAAGTCTGATCTTAGGGGAATGCCATGATACTGAGGGACATTTTGGTTGGCAGAAAACATTAGCCAACCTCATGCGCGCGTATACTTGGCCTGGTATGAAAGCCGACTGCATAGAGTATGTACGCAGTTGTGAAGTCTATCAAAGGAACAAAACTACGACGCGAGCCCCTCTAGGTCTTCTCAGACCCTTGCCTATTCCCGAAGGACCCAAAGATTCTGTGCCCATTGACTTTATGGACGCAGGCGTCAGGAGTAGGCATGACAAGAGCCAAGTCATGGTCGTAGTTGATAGATTTAGCAAATATGCAGTTTTTGTTCCTTTGCCCTCAGAGGCACGCACAAATTTAGTGGGCTACCACTGTCTATAGTTAGTGACAAAGATACCCGCTTCACTAGTCAGAACTGGCAGGAATGAATGAAAGTCTACGGATCTAAGTTGTTAATGTCATCTGACCGTGCCTCCCGGAAACTATGGAACATATCTTCCTTCAGTGCCCAGGAGCGGTACTAACATGGCGATGGTGGGATAGGATATGGAGCCTTTTGGACACTGGAGCCACCTGGCCATGGGATTGGAGAGCACTGCTCTGTGAGGCATGGACCTCCCCTACAGACAGGGACTTTGAGAAAAATATGTTTAAGACAGGCAGGAGAGCCATCATCTTGGCACTTTGGCGAAAACGTTGTATACACACCATTGAAGGGGTCCGTGTAGAGGGGGAGGAGGTGACAGAAATGATCAGACCATTTATCAATCAAGAACTCCTCACTCGGTGGCAGAAAGTTAAAAGCCAACTGGACTTGTACCACCTAAAAAAAGATATTCAACAAGCAATAAATCAATTCTAAGAGGACTGGTTGGGTAGCGATCAAGGGGGTTGGATTGCACATACCCGCTGGGAAGGGGGACAAGCACAGGGGCAGGAACGGGATGATTTCAAAAGAGATTACTGCATCTGCTTTAAGGATTGGACAAAGGTGGACCAAAGGGTCCCTCTACGCCCACCCACAGACTTCCCGGACCTCTTCCCCCCTCACCAACTGGCAATGGTGGACATGCATTGGTACGGAGCAGCATAAGCACACGTCGACGGGGAGCAAGGTGGCAAAATCTCTCTGTAGTAGGCAGGTCTCTTTTTCAGCCTTTCTCAACCCTTCTCAGTTTTTCTCAGTTATGGAAATGTCTCTCCCTGACACTTTCCCGCTAGACTGCAAGGGGGACTGTCAAAAAATAATATTTCAGTAAGGGAGGGAGGGAGGGAGTAAGCTCTTCTGAGATAAACAATTGGCGGGGAACAGAAGCCACGTCCTTCGTGCCAAGGACAGAACAGGACCGGACGTTGGACCCGGCCAGCAGTGTTGTTCTTCAAAAGGTAGGGAGTGGGAGGAACCAAGACAAGATAACAGACATTTGGCGCCAGGATCAGGGTGAAGAGGTCCCCCCCTCCCAACCGCCTGCTCAGTCAATCCCCTGGTTTCCAGGGCAATCAATGCTGGCAGGATGATGTGAGCTGAAGTGATTTAAACTCGGTTTATGTAAGGGACGCTGGACCCGGTTTCCAGCAGGTGCTGCTCCCCACCAATAGATGGCGCCCTCCCCAAGTGCTAGCGGTGTCTGCTCTTACCAGCACCACTAGCACCAACGGGTGCGTTGTTTTAAAAAAAAANAAAAAAAAAAAAAAAAAAAAGGTCATCTGACCGTCACCCAGAGACCAACGGTCAGATTGAGTAGATGAATAAAGTCCTGCAGCAAGTTCTTAGAATGCACATTAGACCCGACCAACTTAACTGGGATGAGATGCTCCCAAAGGTAGCCAGCGCATACAACAATAGCGGGCACTGAGCAACTTGTCGCACTCCCAACGAACTGCGTAAGCCCTTTAGACCACGCAGACCGTTTGAGGGACTTAACCGGGATCAGATTCAGAGGCTATCGCCCGATACTAGGGAATTTGCAATACAGCATGAAAAGGAGATTGCTACGGTAGTTGAGAACCTCAGGAAGGCCCAACACCGAATGATAGAGCAAGCCAATAAGCACCATCACCCTTCACATTTTCAAGTTGGTGACTTAGTCTGGGTCAAGTCTAAAGAGTTTGCTCCTGAGGAGAACATCTCACAGAAGCTGTTACCTGCTTACAGAGGACCTTGGCCAGTCCTAGAAGTCAAGGGCGGAGAGGATGGACCGTCCTACACGATAGAGATTCCAGCACACCTCCAGACCTACCCAGTTTTTCATGCATCAAAGTT